GGGTTTAGGGCCTAAACCCTAAACTCGGGGATTTGGGGATTTGCGGATTTCGGGTTTTTTGGGGTCTTGGGTTGCGCGAACCCAAAACCCAAAACCCAAAGTATCTCTGGGCGTAGGCTTCTTTCGGAAAATGGGTCGGATTCAACAGGCCTGAGAGGGTGTCTGTGATGCTGCTCCCTAAACCCTAAACCGTGGCTTAGGGTTTAGAGTTTAGGGCAGGATTTAGGATTCAGTTTCAGTGCCATCGCTATGGCATGGGAAATGCAGTGTTGGGTACATTACTTTCTTGTTCTGTTTATGCTTAATATAGGGGCCTTAATAATTAGAATAGGGTTTCGGTTTTTTTATAGTATACTGATAATAAGGACCCCCCCCAAAAAAATAGTATAGGTAATTGTTGAGGCCCCGATAGTATGCTTTATTTCAGTTGTCTTGTCTTTCTTGTGGGATTGATGCGGTTGATGATATAATTCCTGCATTACCTTGAGGACCCTAAACTATGGGAATTATGGTACATTCCTTATTATGGGTAGTGCAGGATTTATATCATCAACCGCAGAAGTCGTTTTGGGGAGGGCCGGCCTGCGATCGGAGCCTCACGACTTTGTTATGGCATATAGGTAGTTCTCGAAATTAGGGTCCCTTTTGGGTCTCTAATTTGGAGAACTACCTAAATAACGACCTGCACAAGTAGAACTTAAAATGGCGTGGATGGGTATGTTGTATCATGTTTGAGATACGAGCATCACAGCGACTATCTCCACTAGCTAACTAGCTGCTCGGTGTTAGTATCGTCATCAAACCCAAAGCCCCAAACCCTCGACCCCTAAACCTAAACCCTAAACCCTAAAGCCTAAACCTAAACCTAAGCCCATATATTGGGCTGCCCTTAGCCCTTCAATCCCAACACCAACTTGATGCCAAGCTTGGAGTGGTTTAGGGTTTAGGGTTTAGTGGGGCCGTAGCTTGGGGTCTTTGGTTTAGGGTAGTAGGGTCTTGATCTCAGGGAGCTGCTTCGGCTGGAGACTTTGCAACACGCCTGCCAAATACAGCTTGAGCTCTTTCTCAGACGTTGACTGACCCTAAACTCTAAACCCTATAAAAGCCCAAACCCTGAACCCAAAGCACGAACATGCGCCAAACCCCGAAGCCTAGCCGGGCAGAAGAAGCACCACTTGACCGGACAGCCTCCGAAACTTGCGGCAAGTGACCTTCAAGCCCGCGCTGACGCACATTGCCAGGCGAACCTGGGGCAGCGGAGCTACTGAGACAGCCGAAACATGAATATGCAAAAGCCGTATCTTGCGTATTCATAGATACATAAACAGGAAACTGCACCTGTATGTGCGTACACATATGTTAGATACATCTATAATGTATATATATATATATACATATACATATATAGTAAAGACACATACACATATAATGCACAAGGAACACGACTGACAGAATATCTTACTACTTACTTACATACAACGAAAAGACGAATACGACGACGACTAGCAATAGCAACCGTACGAATACGAATGAGCATTCCTGGACCCTGAACCCAAAACTCTGAGAGTCAATCTCTAATTCAGCTCAACATCCAAAGCCCAACGCCCTAAACCCAAAAGGAATAATGCAGGGGCTCTAACAATTAGAATAGGGCTTTGGTGTATATTATACTATAATTATAGTAAGGAACCCCCAGAAAGGTATCGGTAATTAGTACGGCCCCTATAATAGGGAAACTCGGAACAAGGGCCTTGTTAAGATGCCGCTGCGGTGCCGCCAGTACTCCTGGGCCTGCCATGCAAGACGATGAACGATAAGGGTACTCGAGCTTGGGGAGGGCGGGGTGCATTTTAGGGTTTAGAGGTTTAGGGTAGTTTAGGGTATAGTATAAGTAAATAGTAAAGACTTGCTTGGAACGGCTGTGTGGAAATCTCAGGCGTCTAGATGAATTCAGACTCAGACTGTTTCACGAACCCTCTCAAAGTATGGTGTGGTCTAGCGGGCGTCGCCGCTACCGTCAGGCAAACGTAGCTGCTTAAGGCTTCGCGAAAATGGTGTGGTATATTGTATACCACTGACATTCGGAAGCGAGTTATATGCAAGTTCGGCAGCGACTGGATCTACCACAAAGAAGGAAGACGTCGAACCGCATCTCAACAATAACGAAAGCACCATCCTTGTGAGTCTGTACTTGTACATAACATGGATATACCGTATGCATGTACAATGTACATATACATGTGCACTCACTAGTACATATGCTTATACAGATACCTCCATATTGCCGTGTGGCACATACCTAGGCCAGAAGCCAACAACTCTAAACCCTACACCCCAAGCAAACAACCCTAACCCTAAACCCTAAACCTCAAGCAAACAACCCTAAACCCCAAACCCCATATCTAGGCCAGAAGAAGACAAGAAGAAGGCGCCTCCGAGCTGCAGTCCACCGTGCATTGGTCGACTCTTCGTCATGGTTTCTGACGTCGGTCAAGAAAGCCTTCTCGAAGGCTTATCAAGAGCAGGGCTTCGGGTTGAGGGTAGGGTTTAGGGTTTAGGGGTTCAGGGTTTAGGGTTTAGGAGTTTGGGAATTTAGGGGTTTAGGGGTGTAGGGTTTAGGGTGGTGATAGGGGGTTTAGGGTTAAAGGGCTGAGGGTTCAGGGTCGGGACCTATGGTTCTATCCAGTCGCAGATTTGGGGGCTTTTGCACCCCTCTGACCAAAGTACCTTTCGTGCCTACCTACGGCAACCCACAAGTGATTAGGGGAGAGGAAGGGGCTGTGAAGTATCCAAGCTGCACCCCTCAGACCCTACCCACCGAAATCCTAACATCTCTTTTTTACGCCCATGTAGAAATCCTAACACCTCTCTTTGCGCCCATGTAGAGACCCTCTTATAGAGCCCTCATAAACACCTTGTCCCTGTTTCCGGCCTGGTCTCAGCCAACTCCCTCTGCGAGCACTTCGGCGGCGCGGATGCCGCTCCACCAAGCCCCGTGAACCGTGGAATAGTACCTCATTGTGTCTAAGGGTTCCGTTGAGGGCACTGTAACCACGGGTACTAAGTTGAGGGTTTAATTAGGGCTTAAGATTTCGTAATATTTGTCTTCGCTTTACTTTACTATTCTGGTTGTCTAGCAGCTTCTGCACAGTTTCGAGCTTCGTCTCGGCTACTTAGGTTTATATCAGTCTTCTGTTGTCTAAACTCAGTGGTTTCTAGGCCTTATTCAGGGGTCTTTTCAGGGATGCCCTAAACCCTAAACCCTTATGGATCAAAATTACTACCAGGCCGTAACACTAAACTCGACACGCTGTGACACTGTAGGAGTGTAGGATGGAGTCTTTAGCCACCCGGGTCGGGTTTAGGGTTTATTCTTACCTGGGGCCTCTTTTCGTTATAAGCTGATTAACCTTATGATCTAAGGCATACTCCTTGAATAGCCTTTTACTTGATTAAACGGTATTGGCCTCCCTGGAAAGAAATTCCCAGCAAAGGTTTAGAGCCCTGCTCCCTAAACCCTAAACCCTAAACCCTAAACCCTAAACCCTGTGGCCTGCGGTGGGTATGTTCACCGGCGAAGGAGAGCTGCATGCGACTTCCTGTCGTTCCGGGCTCAGGGCTCAAGGTTTAAGGGTGTAGGGTTTGTTATAAAGTAGGGGTGTATGGGTTTAGGGTTTAGGGGTTTGCGGTTTAGGGTTTCGTGCTTTACGACATAGAGGTCAGGGTTTAGTGCTTAGGGCTTGAGGGTGTAACGCTTGAGGCCTTCGACTATAGGGCTCTGGCTGCGGGGATGCGTTGAGTGAGGTTTACGGCCATGGTGCTCGTGTGCTTGTGATGGTTCTGGTCCGTGTACATCCGCGACTGTCTGTAGGGCGGCTGTAAAGAAGGTCCTTGATAGTAGATGGCTCAGATAGGTACCACCACAACGAAGCATACGCGCATGCTCCTTTTAGCTTTCAAACTTGTGCCGATAAAGCTAACTAGCTAGTCCTGTTGTTGTTTTGTCAGAACGCAAATCGTTATTGTGACAAGCTGATTGCTTGGACAAGTGAGCGCAAGCACCTGACCGCTCGCTGCACGCAGTGACCAGGGGCAACCCAGGATCGGGAACTCCAAGACCTTGTCTAAAGTTATCATATGAGACGTTACTTACTTCCCCAATAAGCCAGGGAAATGAAAGGTTAAACTTTCAGGTTGCCACTAAATTATAAGAACCCAAACAGTTAAAGGTTGCGTATCGGAAAACTGAGCAAAGTTACCGTCTAAAACACGAAAAACCCAAGGAGCATTCTAGGACTGAGCCCTGGAATGGCATCTGCGCACATTCGGGCGAGACCTCTTTTCTCGGCTTCGCGAAATATTGAACATAGGGTTTGCCACGGAGGCCGGAGGCACATCCGCGGTTAAGCAGCCAGCACTCAGCCGGCCTCCCCGAAACCCTAAACCCTAAACCCCTAAACCCTAAACCTCTCCGAAAAGTAGGTCTCGCCGGATGGCGATCATGTCATAGGCATCTTGATGCAGGTCGTAACCTCTTGACGACAGCATGTTTAGCATGGGCATCATCTCATAGGGTCCGGGTCCCTTATGCTGGGCCGCGAAGAGCCACTCAAACTTCACGATCTCAGGGGCAAAAGACTCTTCATGAAAGAACTCCCACAAGATTCGGAGGTCGTAGCCCTCAAGGTCTGTGTGGAGGATGTCGACGCTTGGGCTGCCGAGCTCCTCAAGGAGGTTTTTGGGTGTCAGGGACCGGACCGAGACGGCCACACTGGAGCCGAAGTAGTTTTCCAGGCTCGACTCCGTCTGCTTCCCATCATCCACGAGGTAGAAGGTCAAATTGCCTGATGGCTGATCTGTCATCGCAGCATTGATGATCTCAAAGTTCTGTCGCGGATGGCCATATTGAAGCAGATTCGCAGTGAGGTTGCCATTTAAGCGCTCGTTCGCTTCAACTAGGAAAAGCTTGGCCGAAGCCTTTGCCTTGTTCATGGTTGGGGTAGTATTAACAATTTAAATCTATATTCCTTATTGGGTTTAAGTACCCTTAAAAATGTAAAATGCTACCCAACTATGACAAAGTTGCCAGGAGCCGGAACTCCGCAGCATCCTCGGCGAGGGTGTTCGGTCCGAGCACGAGCATGACGGGCTCCCTTCCCTGCCTGGGCTTTGAAGTAAACAGGGAGAAGAAAGTATAGACTTTATTTCATAATGGCTCCTTTAAGGAACAAGTCCCCAAAAAATATTAATTTATGGTACTCCAAAGCCCAGCCTGCCTTAGCTACCCAGTACCCTGGCCCAAAAAAGTTTAAACTTTTCTTTTAGTAGGGGTTTAATATACCAACAAAGTTTAAACTTTTCTTTTAGTAGGGGTTTAATATACCAAAAAAGCTTAAAGTTTACCTATTGGGCTCCTAAGCTGCTTATGAAGGGACTCAATGGCTGTAGACCAATTGGCATCCGCCTTTTCTTTCCGGAAGTTGTCCATGCTCGTGATTATCAACACTAGCTCTCCTTCAAAGCCGGTCCTGCTGAAAAGTGGGCATTCGGAACGGTGTGCTGGGCAATGATACTGGAGGATCCTTGGCTTCATCTGCTGGAACTTCATCACCAGAGCAGCCACCAACACGGCAAGGATTGCGCAGCAGAAACTGCAACATCGCTTGGAGCACATTCTTGCTTCTCAAAAGCAACACTACCTCGAGCTTCCAGCCTCACTGCTTACACCCCTTCCCACCAATAATATCTCATCTGTCAGGCGTCTAAAACCTGATACTTACCGGTTACATACAGACTGCGACTGGACATGGCTCGACATGACTCGAGCGAAAGAAGTGAGCGAGGCGGTCACACTTGATCTTGATTGAAACTCAGCGCCTCATCCTACTTCTGCAACTTGGCATGCAAATTGTACAAGTGTACAACTCAGCAGTGCATGAATGTCCTGGATAATGCGGGACGAAGCCCAACACCCGAAGCACATAATATTTCCCGGGTATAACGGCCGTATTGATTAACATAGATGACAGCAAACCTATATCAGGGGGTATGTTCACTAATCATTTCCAAAATTCCGACAGGCGTAACTAATCTACAAACACCTCAAAGGGGATTGCTATTTCTGGGTTTTTCAGACCACCGAGGCCGAATTCTCACCCCCAAGGCCTCAACCCACAGATGTGATAGAATGATGGGTGTAGGGTTTAAGGTTTAGGGTGTCGGGGTTTAGGTGTTGAGGGTTTAGGCGTTTAGGGTTCTGGGCCCCTAAACCCTAAACCGCTTCAGGATTTAAATAAGGTTTGAGGGTCCTAAACCCTATAAGTCTAAAAGCCCTAAACACGAAACCCGGAATGAGACAGCTGAAATACTGGGATCCTTCAGGCAAGGACTCTCGAAAGGGACCCCCCCAACCGTTGCAACACCCGGATGTAAGAAGCTGAGGGTTTAGGATTAAGGGGTTTGGGGTTTCGGGGGGTTCAGGATTTAGGGGTTTAGGTCTAGGATTTAGGGTTCAGGGGTTTAGAGTTTGAGGTCCAGGGGTTTAGGGGTTTAAGGATCTGGGTATGGCTCCTTCGGGGCGTCCCAGCTCATCGATGTCTGCGCCGCTGCCGCCGACGGCTACGAAGGAGTAGGAGCCGCGGAAGTTGGGATCGGCACCTAACTGTCATTGCCCACGGAGTTTAGGGCTTAGGGTTCAGGGTTGAGGGCTTAAGGTTTGGTTTAAGTTTTAGCGCTCAAGTTACCACTCTAGATCCTCTCCTGAGCCTACAAAGAAGTAGCTTTTGGTAGGTTAAGGTACACTGAGAACTCAACCCAATGCCCGACCCCTCAAACCCAATTTCTACACTCTACACACACCGATTTTCAAAACCTGAAGCACAAAACCCCTAAGACTCTAGACTCCAAAACCATGAAACCCTAAAAACCCAAAAACCCTTGAAAACCCTAAAACCCCAAAGGCAAAACGACTTGAAGAACGTGCCAAGGCGGCCCCAGGAAGAGCGCTTGAGCCCAGTGGGCTCGGGAAGGGCGCCGCTGGCCCCGGAACAGCGCCGTAACCTGGGCGCTTTAACGTTCAAGCTGGGGCGGGGGGAGGGGGGGGGGGATTTAGGGTTTTATTAGGGTTGGGGGTGGGAGGATTTAGGGTTGGCTGGACCCTAATTCCTTATTACAACTTCCTATATAGTCCATATAACGGTGAGTGGTAAGTCTTTTGGGGTTAAAGCGGTTTGGCGGCCAAAAAAAAGGGGTGTTTTGTTGAGGCCTGGGTGTATGGTTCCAGGCCTTACGGTTCAATGGCATAAGGCGTCAGTCTAGATTTAAAACAGGAAATAAGGGACTTTCCGAAAATTAGGGTACCTTACCTTGGGGTCCTTTTAATAAGGATCCTAGTATTTAGGGTGCTAGATTAAGGTCCCCTGTTTTCGGAGACCCCCATAAGGGTTGAGGGTTGAGAATTCGGATGTATACGCCTAACCCAGAAGCCCACATGCAGAACATCTCGCACAGCCCGCAACCCAAGATTTCAGTACCCTAAACCCCACATCCCAAAATCCTGCTGGTCAAGTACATGCCCACCATCCCCAAGCTTAAAGAAGCTTGAGTATCAGGATCTGTTCAGGTAGGGGGGTTTTCAATTTTGCTATTTTTTTAGGCTTCTACACAAAACCTCGAATTGAGCCTGACTCTCGAGACCTAATTTGGTGCTCGTTAAATGTTTAGAAGAGTTTTCCTTCTACCCCCAACATAGATACAGAATAATATGCAAAGCCCTATTTTTTGTGAGGGCCGATATAATATAGAAACCTTATAGACCCCTCCCTTGTACAGCTTTTTAAGGAAGCCCTATTCCAATCCTAAGGCTTCAAAAAGCAGGTGTCCTCAATCCTAAACGCAACCCCGAAAACTCAAAACCCCTGAAGCCCTAAAGCCCTAAACCCTAAGCAATCAACTGTCAAAGCCTAAAAAACCTCAAAGCCTCGTGCCGGCTTTTCATGTCCTAAACCCTAAAACCCTAACCGATGAAACCTTAAAGCCCTAAACCCTAAACCCTAAACCCGCCCAAGCTGCAGCCTTTGGAGGCTCCCCTGGACCTCTTCGTCACTGCACGCCTCGTTTTGACTTGAAGAGCTTTTGAAGCTAGGGCTAAGCAGTTCTGAGGGTTCGAGCAGTGGGGTTTAGGGTTTAGGGTGTAGCGTTTGAGGGTCTTGGGGTTTGGAGTTTTGAAGGCTTAAGGGTTTAGGATTTAGGGTGTAGGGTTTGAGGGGTTTTGGGGCTTAGGGTTTTTAAAAAACTTAAGCTGCAGGCTCCCGGCGTTCAGGTTTGGGGCTTTCCTCCAGCTTTCCTAAAAAGCTTTGGGGTTCAGGGTTTAGGGTTTAGGGCTTAGGGTTTAGGGCCTTGGGTTTACGGTTTTTTTGGTTCGGTGCTTGTCGTTTGCAGGGCGGTTTCGGCTTTGGGGTTCGTAGCTCTTCCCCTCGAAGTCTTGGAACGGCATTCGGGGAGTTATGGCTCCCTCCCTGGAGGGCTGTAGCTGTGCACAGCTTGCTTGTTTAGGAGCTCCTGCTGAGATTTAGTACCCTAAACCCTAAACCCGAAACCCTAAACCTTGACTCCGAAAACCTAAACCCTAAACCCAGAAGCAGGAGGATGCCAGATGCACGGGGGAACCCCGAAAATTCGAACCACTAGGGTTCTATAGGGCTTAGGGTTTAGGATGTAGCGTTTAGGGGTTTAGGGGCTTTGGGT